CGTATTGAGTCGCGCGTCGCGGGTCGAGACGCGCGAAGCTAGTTGACTTACAGCCAGGACGTTGAAAGAAGGGCCACTTCGGGTTTAGGAGGGGCTTTGTTTTCGGTCTGCTCCTCAGATCTTTGGTGGGCGGTTGGGAAACCTACTCGTGGCCAATGCCCGCTGTGGCCAGAAGAAGCCCCTTCGTTCCTTGTTCAGCGTTCCGCCTTTTGACATGAGAGGGAACATGTTCTGAGGGAAACAGGACCTAGACCCTGAAGTCTTCCACAGGACCAGCTCTCCATCCCAAGCCTTCCTCTGACGGTCCTGGGGCCCAGGGAAAGCCACCAGCGACCACAAGAGGCGAAACGGTCCAGAACCCGTTTCCCCCGGGATCCGCTTCATCGGCAGTAGCACGCATTGATTGCATTTGGAGAACAATCAGGTTACCGATACCAGTACTCCCGAGACCTCCTGGGGTGCGTCCTGACTTTGATTTCGAGGCGAGTCCAGCCGTGGCGACGAAGGAAGGATACGGTGAGGGCATTGGGCCAGCAGCCGTTAGATAAGGACTCCAGGGTTTGGAAGCCTGTGGAACTCCAAGCGTAATTTGGTCATAGATATTTCCACCGCCCTCATCAGATTCGGAACCCTCCAGGGTCTGAAGCATCCTGGGCACATTCCTTAACCACCTCCCCCACAGTATCGGTATCGGTATCTCTTCCCGTGCGGGGCTAGGACGAGGATACATCCGTTCCAGAGCGTTCAGGAATGCTCTAAGAAAGCCGCGGCGCCCGAGACATCCTCCAGACGCCAGATCTCAAAGATTCGCGATTCATCCTCACCCGAACCTACCCGAGCATCTCTTTCTCATCCGAGCAGAGAGCCTCCATCGCGTGGGTGCGGTCCGCCCTAGGAGCGGCCGGGAGTGGGGCGCCGCGGGGGGGGGGGGGGGGGCGAGGTGCGGGGCAGCCCTCCCGCAGAGGTGGAGATCTACTTCGGACACGGCAACTTCAACCATGCCCAGGGGGAGGCAGCGGGCGCAGGTCGGAAGCCTTGAGACGGGGGTCAATGCAATCGGGGGTCAGCCAGGGCGCCGGATCTTGGATCTTGCAGGATCCTGCAGAGCCAGGGGTGCACAAACCCGGGCTGGTGTGCAGGATCCTGCAGGATCCTGCAGAGCTCGAGACCCGGGTTTGGGTTGACCTGGGCCGGTGTGTTCCCGAGCAGGAGGTTCTCCGATGTTCCAAGATGTGTTCCAAGACGCCGAGTATAACCGAATATGGTTCAATGTAGCCCCCCTCGTGCCTCCGAACGGCCCAAGGGGACCATGAGACCCATGAGACGGCTCTGGGGGGATGCAGTGGGCGCAGGAGGCTCTTCTCAGGGGCAACGTTGGGGGGGGGCATAGGCCCATGGGGATAGACGCATCGATTCCCAATCGCCCATGTCTCGCCGAGAAGGGGATATCCCACCTCTTCCAGAACCGTGCGGTTTCGCTATGGTGGGAATCGCCGATCTATCTGCGATGTTTCACCGATTCAAGGTCGATACCTCCCCACCTGAGCTGGTCCACTTCTAATCAACGTTGCCCCTCATCCTATCGCCTCTGGATCAGTCGTTGGAGGCTTCAATCTCGCCTCGCGGATCGGGGATCGGGGATGTCAGAGGTGTCCGAGAGGGGGTGATGACTCCGGTGATGACTAGGGGGGGTACCCTGGCCGGGGCATTGAGATCTCCCCGTACTTCATGCCCCTCATCTTATGGTTCCAACACGTCCCTTGGCCCCCCCCACTGGGCCGCCCACGGGCCATGACTTGTGGTCACCCCTCCTGGACGACCCCTCGCAGACACCTCAGAGATCTGGCTGTTGGAGTTTTTCTCGCCTCGGGATGCCAGCAGGCTGCCCCGCTGCGAGCGTTCCCGGGTTGCCAGAAGCAGAAGCGTCCCGAACGGCCGTTGGAGGCCCGAGTTGGAGCATGTTCGCAGTTTACGGCCTCTGGGGGTCCACGCCAGGCGCTGGGATCCCGTCAGGAAAAAGCTCGGGCATGAAAGGTGGCGCTGGGGAAAGGGAAGGGATTTCTGGGGAAGGCAGCGGGAGAGGAGGATACCTTTTCCAAACATTCAATCATAATGGGTTAACCCGGCGCACCCCTTCCATACGTTGAACGGAGGGCGGGGCCAATGGGGGTTGATAGTTTCAGATGTCAAGAATAAGAGAATATGCAGGAGGTCCGCGCGGATTTCTTGGATCAGCGCTGGACCCCCACCCCTGGCGCGCGGAGCGCGCCAGAGGCGCCGCCAGGTGAGTCCAGTGCCGATTCGAGAAATCCCTGCGAACCTCCGAAAGTTGTGTGTTTATGCGTATTTATGTTTCTTCTATGTTATGTCGCTTGGAAAGGTACTGGGGGATGACTCGCTAATCCGAATGACGCCCACGACGACGCCGCCCGAGCAGGCCCAGAATTCCTTGATCGTCGGCACAGGGTTCTGCTGCGTGACGGCCCCCTCTGGGCATTTCCCAGTCACCCCTACATGTGGGCTTGCGAAAATCAAGAGATGAAAACCTTGCCATCTCTTGGGGGCCCGATGTTTAACTCCGCCAGCAGAGGCGGCCTCATCCCGCTTCCGCGGGCTTTAGCGCCGCCGTTCCGCCGCCCTGCCGCCGAGGAAGCGATGGCCAAACCCCTTCGATCCTCGAAGGGGAGGCCCTTCGAGGGGTCCTGGAAGCCACAGGATGTCGGGAGTGTCTTCGAGGGCCTTCGAGGGGTCCTTCGAGGGAGTTTTTTCGGGAACGCAACAGTATGTCCGGGAGACCCCACGGCGATGGGGACCCCTCTGTCGGCGGTGTATCGCCGACTGCAGGTCGAGGTTTCCCCCCCCTGTGCCAGTCCCCCCTATCGTTGCCCGCCCCTTCCCCTCAATGGAAGGCAGGATGAAGAATATCCACTGGTCGTTGCGAAAGTATAGTTTTTTTGTTGCCCAGTTCCCTTTTCCAGTTTATTTGAGGCGCTGTCCTACTTCGAGCATCGAGTGGTTGCCCCTCTTTCTTCCTCTGAAGGGGGCAGGCGGAAGCCCAATCTAAATTTCGATGCAGTCCTACCCACTTCTGTGGACCGATGGGTACGTGATCGGTGAGCTCGGAGATGTAACAGGCGCCGCGGCTGTTCCAGAACGATCCGGAACGCTCTGAGGGCGTTCTGGAACGCTACTACTACCCTCGTTAAAATTGATCTCAAAAATGGCGACGACGCCCCTGTGATGTCGGCGCGCCCTCCAATGTCGATAGACGCCCCTCCAATGTCGGGGCCAGGGCAAAAGTGGTGTGACCGGGACCGACTCGGAAGTTCGATGATGACCGACATTGGAGGGGCGGCGCATACAAGTACCTCGCAGTCACCACTACTCTCTCTGTCCAGAGTCTCCCCACAAACAGTTCAGCCTTGTAAGACATTTTGATATTAATTGTGACGAGGGTTGTAGGCGATGATCTGCCTTCACTGTTGCCTGAGACCCTTGGCGTCGCCAGTTCTTCGCACCAGGCATTCGCTCATTTTCGGGTCCCAAGAGGCCCCCGCGGATCGATCCCGCCTCAGGAATGCCATAACAGGTTGGATCCAGGGCTCTGGTCGTGATGTTGGGCGATGATCGCCAGGAGGCAAAAGCTGGTCCCGAGGGGGGCAGGTCCTGGGATTTTGACACATCCTGGGCTGCCGTCGCCCCCTGCGGGCCCCATGACCGTCAGAAAACGAGTCAGGAGGAAGAATTGGTGCTGCGTTAAGGTCTGGGCCTCCCAGATGGGGTCGCAGTAGATGGGGTCGGAGGGTCGCGACGCATCGCCGATGCATCGCCGATGCATCGCCGATGCATCGCCGATGCATCGCCGATTGCGGCTCGGTGTTGGGCCTGATTTTCTCCACGCCGACGTCCCTGATGCATCGCCGACGTTGCCGATGCATCGACGACGCGGCGCGATCCTGCAACCCCATCTACTCGGACCCCTTGTTGGAGGCCTCTAGAAGGCCCTCAAGGTCCAGGACCCGTTTTCCCAAAAAGGCTTGCCCTTCAAGGCAATCCACCCACTCTCGGGGGTTCTACATTTGTCTCGTCGCGATTGTCCTCCTCATGCCGTCGCCGTGTCCAAAGGTCCCCTTCACTGGGGCCCCCAAGACTCCCTCGCGTTGTATCGAAGTCACGACGGGAGTTTTCTAATGGTTTTGCCTTTGGGGCTCCTGCACGGCTCGGGGGCCGTCATCTAAGACGATTCGGGATGAGAAGCCGGTCGCGGGGACGGGGTCGAGACACACACGGGTCCGCGCGGTGGAACAACATCACTACGTCGGGGGTCCGTGTTCGGAGACCAGGCAAGCACATGGCAGGAGGGCGATCACGCGGTCACGCATCACCGCCCTGGACGAGGACGCAAGCGGGTTCTGGGCCTGCTCGTGAGCGCTGTCGTCATCGTTCTGCAGGCTCGATGGGCTTCTGGAACAAAACTCCCCCCCGGCGCCACGAAGAGCCCCTCCTGCACTCGCCCCCCCGTGGTTTCCCCGCGGCCGTCGTCCTGCGCCCGTGCGGAAAAAGCCCCGGAAGCCTCGCGCGGCGCGCAGCGGTGGGTGTGGCCGAGTCCACACGTGCGCCCCGCCGGATGTGGGGGGCGAGGGTCGCACGGCGGTGTTCCGAGGCGGGTCCGACGGAACTCCGAGGTGCATCCGAGGCACGTCCGGGGTGCACCCACTGGTAAGCTGGGCCTCGAGTGGCCGCGCCGAGGCCTCGAGGATCTTCCTCATGGCCTGTCATAGCCATCTTTCGCCGTCGGCGGTCCGCGCGGGTGTCTTGGGTCGGCGCCGGTCCCCCCCCCCCCTGGCGGGGCCTCGCCGCCCGTGGCCTGGTCCGCGCGCTGGCCCCGACTCAAGAAAGAGCCCAGGCCCGCGCGGACCGCCGAATTGCAATGCTGCTGCGTGAGATGCTGCTCCTCTGCTTGGAGGGGCTGTGGTGCCCCAGGGGTGGTGCCTCTTGAGGTCCACGCCAGGCCCCAGGACCGATAGAGGGCAGCCAGGGGCGCGAAGTCCATCCAGCGTACGAGTGCTTGGGAGTCGCGGGCTCCAGAGGCCCAACGTTCTGGGCAAATCAAGGCATCGGAGGTCTAGATGTGCGGCGGGATGCGGCCATCGGCTCGCCCACAGTGACGTGGCCACCTTACCCGCGCACCTCCCCCCGGTGTCTACAGCATGAGTTCGTCCTGAAGGAGGCGCTCGACCTGGGGCGGCGAGAAGGCGACATCACTGCGCACACAGGGTACGCCGGCGGCACCAGAGTTGGTGACCTGGATCGCGTGTGCTACAATGCCATGTACGGTTCGCCAGACCATGTTTCAGGCGGCCATGCGCAAGTTGTGAGCATGTTTCTCCCTGAAGATCGGATAGCAGACTTCACCAAGTTGTTTCTGGACGACATCCCGAAGCAGAGGGTCTTCGAGAAGGGACCGCAGTACCGCGCAGTTATCGGGGTTCGCAAGGGTATGAAGTCTAAGGTGTTTCCCTTGATCCAGGAGGCCGCTGCTGGGAGGGTCACCTTGGTCGAAGGCGCCGGGGATGAGAAGGACACCTTCGCGACAGACAGGGGGTGGCAAGCGGAGATCTAGGAATCGCGGGTATGAGACTAAGATGCCAATCGCCGTGCCCAAACTCACCCCAGCGGAACACAATTGCCTTGTCTGTTTCGGTCGGGTGAAGGTCTACAGGGATCAGGTTTGCCTCGTATCCCTCATCCTCGGGGTGGGCGCAGTCATCTTGCCCCGCTTCCTCGGTATTCTCTTGCCTATCCCCCGGGCGGACACGGTTTACGTCTATGATTCTAGGAAGTTTCCTTGGAGACCTGCCGAGACGTATAACCAGTTCAAGGACGACCCGCCAGAGAAGTTCGAGTTCGATTACCGAGAGCTCAGGGAAGTCCAGCTGAAGGGCGGCATGATTAGCTCGAACGGGTGCCCATAGACTGCTGGTGTAGGCAGGGAGCGAGAGCAGGCTTTGTAAGCATACATGTGTCAGCTCCCTTTGGCCTATGGCCCCTTGCGCCCGCAGAACATGTCATTCATCAACTATATCGAAGACGCCTACGGCGAATCACCGCCGCCCCCTGCCTTTTTGGAAACGCAGATGTGGCCGAAAGTTGGACTAGAGCTTGGCCAAGCTATCGGACCATGAGTTCCCCGAGTCGGTTTGGAAAGCTTTCGGGGAACACATGGGAGAGAATGATTATGAACAGGAAGAGGAAGAGGAAGAAATAGAGTAGGAGGATGAGGGTTGTTAGGAGTCTCTTGGGGCACCCTTGGGGTCTGTTGGGGGCTTCTTGGGGGCCTCTTCGAGGCCTCTTGGAGGCATCTTGGGGGCCTCCTTGGGCCTCTTGGGGGCCTTTGGGGGCTTCCTGGGGGTCTCTTTGGCCGTCTTAGGGCGTTCCTGGTCCGTCTGACGCCGTCTGGAGCCGTCTTGGGGGCCTCTCTGGGCCGTCTTGGGGCCCTCTTGGGGCGCTTCAGGGCCGTCTTGGAGGCCATGTTGGGCGTCTTGGAGGCCTCTTGGGCCGTCTTGGGGCGCTCTTGGGGCCGTCTTGGGGGGCCCTTGGGCCGTCATAGGGCCTTCTTGGAGGCCTCTTGGGCGATCTTGGGGGCCTCTTGGGCCGTCGGAAGGCCGAAAAGAAGAAAACGCAAAAAACCTTCAAAAACCTAAGGAAAACCAATGATTTTGGCCTCTTCGGGCTCTCCTGGAGAACGTCTTGGAGGCCTCTTGGGCCATCTTGGAGGCATCTTGGGGCCATCTTGGCCGTCTTGGAGGGCATCTTGGGCCGTCTTGGAGGCATCTTGGAGCCATCTTACCCGTCTTGGAGGCCATCTTGGCCGTCTGGGAGGCATCTTGGAGGCCATCTTGGGCCATCTTGGCCGTCTTGGAGGCCATCTTGGGCCAAGTTGGGGCAACAAAGGCATTGACAGACGGATTTTGGGAAAATTACGGGTGGCCGGCGGGACGGGCCGAAGCCCATTGGGGAGTTCTTTTAGAAAAAGAACCAAAACCAAAACCTGAAACATCCAGCACGCCGTGCACCCCTGTGGCAAGACCACAGGGGGCGGCGGATTGTGGCCTTCGGCCCATCCTGTCACCTTGCCTGGGTCGTGGACAAGAGGTCTCTCAAAGGCTTCGCGGGGTCTCTTGTGACGCCAGAGGCCTGTTTGGGTGCTTATTGGGGGCCCTTTGAAATTTCTCGGGCCCCTTTCCACGCTTCTTGGGGACCTATTGGGGGCCTGCTTGCGGTCTCTGGGGCCATACTGGTGGAGAGGACTCTAAACCTTAGCTCGGCTTCCCAAATTGGGCTTTTTTTGTGGTCCGTCTTGTGGGCCTCTTGGGGGCTCTAGGAGCCGTTTTTGGGTTCTCTTAGGGGCCTTGTCGGACCGTCTTGAACGTTCTGAAGACCGAGACGCCGATGATGTTAAAGTCATACGAACAAGAACGTGCCTGGTTTCAATGATTCGGGCCTCTTAGGGCCTCCCCAGGGCCCAATAGACGACCTGGCGGCACCATCTTTGGACATGTTGGAAGTTTTGACCCCAAGCCACACACACCCGAGGCCTCGGAGAACCGTCTCGACCCAGAGCGCCTGGGAGCACCCGAGAATTCCCGGAATCTGGAATGTGGGCCAAGCATTTTGAGTTTTCAAAGCTGAGGCCTCGAAGGGATACACACCACAGTCAACCCGCATAGAGGATCAACGACTTTCCAAGGCTACCCTTGCATCCTTCCCCATTCGGCCCATCCTTGGCCGCTTTCGCTGGCCGCGCCCCGCTCACACAGTTTCGGCATGGCCGTGCAAGGCCCTTGAACACGTTCCGTGCGTCCTTATTATACGGGTTGACTGTATTCAGTGCCTACTCCATGGCGACGGAGATTCACACTGTCCACCATATCGTCCACCATATAGCTATGACAAGACTCAACTATTGTTTTTTTTCCAGATGGGTTTGTAACATTGCCCCTGCAACTGCCAACGATCTGTTCCTTGCATTGGCTTCTTTCATTTCACGGGCCAGCACGCGCCTGTCTGTATATCCGCATGCGCGGCGCGGTGGGTAAGGCCACCTCCTGCTCTTGCACCTTCTCCCCCTCGCCATGGTGCCCATCTTCCTGATGTTCCTCCTCTCGTTCCTCGTCCGTCACCCCGCGATCTGATCTTCCCCTCTTCCTGCTCCCTCCCCTGCTTTCCTCCTGCCCCCACCACTTCCCTTAGGTGTTCGATCATGGACCCTTTTTGAACCGCAGCTGTCCAGCTTTCGCACCGAAGACCGCTGAAGACCGCCGAAGACCACCAGAAAACCGCCAGAGACCGCCAGAAGACCGCGCAGGGCTGCTGGGTAACTAGGGGGTCCACTGCCGAGTGTTCCGAGGCGGGGACGACCGCCACCTGGCGGTTCGATCCTCGCGGACCTCCACGGGCGGTGGATATGGGCGTACTCGGGCCCCCAGGGGCGGTTCCCAGGCGGCGGGTATGGATCATCCGCCGCCTCGCATCCGTGCCCCTCTCTCCCCATCCTCGCTCTGCCCCCCTAGAGCGAGCCCTGGGCGAGCCGAGCCTCCGGCGAGTCGAGCCTCGGGCGAGTCGAGCGTATACGCCGCGAAACAGCGGGGGAGGAGGTGGAGGAGGAGGAGGACCAGCACGCAGTTGGATGATGAGTTCGGGCCACCTGTCCTCTAGGGCGGGGCGGCCTCTGCCTGGCTTGGGCTGCCTCTCTGAGCAGCTGCGCCAGCGGCACGGGAGAAATCCGACGACCCTCCGGTGGCCCTTCAGACACACCATTATTGACCAGGGAAGCACCAGAGAATGGCTCAACTACCTGATCTTGCTGTCTGTCAAGGTCCATCCCATACACGCATAGAACAGTGAGATACGAACGGGATACTGTCGATATCGAATCGATTTGGGCGAAGGGCGTAGCCTCCGCCGCTCTCCTGCGCAGGGGAGCACCAGGGGTATGCCTGGCTCGTCGACCTGCTGGCGGCATAGAAATCCGCTCCCTTTCAAGGAAGGTTTCCGAAGACATGCCTGTCACCTGCGAAACAGGATACAACAGAAATGCACAGGCACAGTATGCAGCGAGCACTGAACAAAGAATATACATAATCTCTGATCATACAGCAGCTGCATACAAGAACTATCGCAGACTTCAGTGAATGCGGGCAACGCTGCTCGCGGCCTCCATAGCTTGTATCTGAAGCTATTGAACTTGCTTTTGAAGCGTGGCTTCCTACAGAAAGAGACAAAGTCTAGTCGGACAGGCGTGCAACCATCAATATTCATGTTGTAATGTCGGTCGCCCTCTCCTTCAACAAACTGAACATATGCTTTCTCTATCACCGCGCTCTGATTGCCAAAGGGCAGCCAGCTTTCTCCAGCATGGTACTTCCAGCTAGTGGTGTCGAACTGCTCCTGGACCACCCCGGAATTGACCTCTATGGCGTCGTCGTGGGGGGCCGCCTCATCAAATGGCTCCGTGCCCAGAAACTGCTCCTGGACCTCCGCCTGGCTGTTGAAGCCGTCGTGCAGCTTCTTCCAGCACAGCCTGCTCGATCTGCACAGCTTCCGACGCCTCAATCGCCTCCTGTATGGGCGGCTCCGCAGCCCGCTCCGCGGCGAACTGCACCACCTGCTCGCCCGCAGACTTCTTGATGTCGTCGCCGTCGTCTCCCTCCACATCGAAGGGCTCTGTGCCCTGGGGATGCTCTGGGTCCACAGCCTGGATGTCGAAGCCGTCGTGCGGATTCTCGGCCACGGCCTTCCCGATATGCTCGGCGTCCGAGACGTCGATGACTCCAGGCACGGCCCCGGCATACTGCTCCGTGTCTGCCACGCGCTGTGGCGAAAGGATCCGTAGCAACTCGTTCGTGAGGCCTTCGCCGTAGGTGACCAGCTCGTTGGCCTCCATGTCGGAGACCAGCATGGCAGTGGGCCTCCAGAAATTCTCCTCGAGTTCGTGGTACAGTATGCCCGACGCGACGGGCAGCTGCGTTACAGAGTCCAGGCGAGGGGCCTGCCGCAAGAAGGCCTGCCAGTCGGCCGTTGGCCTCCTGGAGCTTGCGCGCATGGGTTGCGCAAGCTCTGGCGCGGCGGCAGGCGCTACGCGACGACGTCGGGGCCGCACTCCGTAGGGCGGCACACAGGAACGCCATCACTCCGCGTGGCTAACTGTGACTGGGGCGGACCAGGCGAGGCGAGCGCATTTGGGGCGAACGCAGACTTCGTGATCGTGGTGCCGAAAAGGCCGCGGGGGGCCTGCTCGAGCCCCAGCGCCTAGGGCCTTCCCTGGGCGGCAGTGCTGTCGTCCTGCACCTCCAGCGGTGTGATCAGGACTTGAGCCAGGAGCAGGAGGAGGAGGAGGAGGAGGAGGAGGAGGAGGAGGACGAGGCTGTCCCCCCCCCCCCTGCCCTGCATGGGCCAGGGCGGCCTCGGCAGGGCGGGAGCGGAGGGAGGGGCAGGGGCCGCACCCTCCCCGGTCCACCCACCGATCTGCTTCAGCTGCTTCTCTTCTCGTCCACGGCGCCTCCGCCCTCTGGGCTGGACCCTCTCGGTCTCCCCCCCGCTCCTCGTCCCCTCCCTCCGCGCCTCCTCTCGCCCCCCCGTCCTCGCTCCTCGTCTCGGCCCGGCATGCCTCTGCTCGAGGCTGCGGGTGCGAAAGAAGGCTGGACCTGGAAGTCGACCCGAAACCCGACAGCCGGCAGGGCCACGCCCGATAACTTTGAGAGGGGCCAAACCCGAGCCCTGGAGGGGCGCAGCCCGACGAGCTGCGAGGGCGCCTAAGCCCAGGGGGGATGCCGAAGAAGGTAAAACGACGCAGTCGGCAGGACGAGGTAGTAGGCGGCAAGAGGAGGTAGGCGGAGTGTGTGGGGGGGCGGTCAGGATATGACACCAGGGACGAGGAGGTAGGACGAGCCAGGGTGCAACTGGAGGAGGCTGG